TCATTATAAATATCACATCTATCTCGACATCTATCTACTACATGCGTCTTCTCCGCAAAGCAAGCTCGCAAGCTGTTTCTTCAATCGGCGTCATCGTGCATAAAAAATCGAAAGTGCCTTCGCCTTACCTGGTCGCGTGCTGGATCCCGATGCAAAGGCGAAGGAGGGGAAAGGATGAAGAAGAGGGCTCGTGAGAGGGAGACGAAAGGAAAGGGTTCGCCACGCGCCCGGCGCCCTAAAGGTTAATCTAGAAAATCAAATCAAAGCGGTTTTTTGGTCGAGGGACTTGCTGAAGACGCGCTAGAGGAGTAAGAGGAGAGGACGGAGCCGTAAGAGGACGGGAGGGTGACGCGAGAGAAAGGAGACGCGAGGAGGAGACGAAGGGCTTCCGACGGACCGCGCATCAAAGACAATATTCAACACGTACGCCGCGCCGTACGCAAAAGGCGCATATGCCGCGCACGTGCCGGCGGGGGGGGCAAAGCTTTAGCGCTCTGTTTGCTAAATAACATCCTCGGGAGTACCTCGAGACTAGATACGGGGCGAGCAAGAAACCCTTCTCGCGGGTCAGCGAGTGTAATTGCGCGCTTATTAACCTTTGCCGCGTCTGCCTATCAACAGAAGAGCTTCGCTTTAAATTAACATAATTAACTTTCGTGCATTTTCGAACTATTTCTGCAAACTACTTCATAGACAAAATATTCTAGGCATAGTTATCCATTTTCTGAATAGTTATCATTTTTATAATAATTGCAAAAAAAATTTTACCTTACTTAAAGTAAGCAGTATATATAGAAGAATAGAATTTGCGTTGTAATTCTAAAGCAGAAAAATAAACGCTGGCATAAGTACCGGTCTGATTGCGCGATGATCATCGTTCATGAAAAACCGCAAACGCGAATGGACAAAGCGCGTGGCCAGTTGAAGAACTTTTCGATGACGAGTGACTATGCGGGCTGGTCAGTAAATTGATCATTCGGCTTCTAACACTTGAAGGCTTATTGCGTTGTTGCAATACCTACGGCAACTCTATTGACTATGACATTATGTGGTTATCGTGGTCGAAGACAAAACGCAAGTGGGGTGGATGATTTATAGCATTAGATTGCAGTGATAACTTGTTATTCAGAATTTACGAAAGACGTACGGTAAAATGACGACCTTAACGTCACCTCGACGTTGGCAGTGATATATAATTTCGCATTCGGAAGAATACATCGGGCTGATTTCTCATTGCCGCTGTTTAAGAAGCGAATATGCATGTATATAATGACGAGCTCGTACATTATCTCCACGTAGAATACACGTAGCATACGGAGCATTAATGAAAGTTTCTAGTATCAGCGATACGTAAGCGAGTATATTTTTCATATCGCATTTCAAATCACGCTCACAACTAAATTCTAACAAATTAGCATATCGAGGGATCGAGGGAATCTACGTATCAACGCGCCTGTATTTAAATCACAGTCAAATTAATTTTTCACCATATATTAACGATTTTTATTTTCAGATATCTTATTAGTTTTATCGTGTTTATTTTCCCAGTAATTTCCGCTAGATTTTCGCTTCGAAACGTTCAACATTTCTCGCGACGGTCACCGACGTTAACTCCGCGAGTGTCGGCTGACCAGATAACTCGTACACACACGTTCCTTTTGCCTGGCGTGTCGTTATGGGAAAGTGATCGTATGATAGGATATGATACTTGCCGTTCGACGAACGTAAGTAAATGCGCGATCTATTTGCCGCCGCCTGTCTACGTATGTACGTAGGAGGGAACACGGGATAGCGGGGAGACGGGTAATCAAAGTGTAGACACGCGACACATCGTTTCGAGGAAGAAAATAATTCTGCGTTGGCAAACACGGATTTAAACTAGAAGCGACGGATTCTTGAGACGATTAAGCTTGAGACGTGAACGCGATGGTATGCCCAATGGCCGCAAAGTCTGCCGCATTTTCTTTAATTACCGTGATCGAATTTTCATGCATTCCGATAACTTTTACTGCTAGTCGACAGATCTGTCCGCGATTTGATTGTTAAAAAAAGGAAACGAGGTCTCATTTAACGCCAACGGGAACTCACCTTAACGCGAACGATGGACGATACCATTCGCGTCATCATCGATTCACCGGGTATCAAGTAAGCTGCGGCAAAACGAGGTGAAGCACATCCATCATCATCATCGTATCTACGTTCACGAGGCCGTCACTTCGTTGTCAGCCGTCAAGTAGTTGGCCGAGAAGTAAACAGGACTTTCTTAGTTATCGCGAGCAGAACTAAGCAGTCCTTTCTCGGCATCGTATTCTAGAGGTCGATTCAAATTAAAGAGAAATTGATCTCGATTTTGCCCGACATATGTCATAAATATGGCCGGATTAATTGGGTTCAAGAGGATCGACACTGTCACTGTCCCTCATTAATTTCGCCTCAAGGTGGCAGATACGCAAACTCGCGAATTCGCGATCTTGTCCATCGCGATGCTGTCATCTTTCTCCTCCTAATCGCGACGATCGATCGTCGCGCGCTGTTATCGGTCCTCTCCGTCTTAGAAACCATGGCCGTTACGTTGCTCGTCGTCACTCACGGAATCGACGTGGCCCATTGATCTATCGATCGCTATGCTACCCTGTGACGAAGATCAACCAGTAAGGAGTAATCGGGACGATATGAGGGGATAATCGGTGCCGGAGAAATATTCCGGTATCTTTTCGCGGCGGCGTCATCGCGCGAACTAAAGAATATCGCAGTTGTAATTAAGAAAACGGAGCCGCCGCCGCCGCCGCCGCCGCCGTCGCCGGCGTCGCCGCCGTTCCGTAGAGGCGAGGGGGTGCCTCGCGGACGTCGCGGGGGCGGGTGTTGCCGACGAGGGGTAGCAGTCGCGGGGGTGGAAAAGTCTGTGAAAAACGCGCGCATGACAATGCCGCCCTTTCTAGCCCACCCCGCGCCGTCACCTTCTCCTCCTCCTTCTCCTCTTCCTCCGTCTCCTCCTCCTGCACCTCTACCTCCTGCTTCTCTCCGACTCCTTCTCCACCACCTTCGCCGCCTCCACTCTCCTCGCCTGGTGGGGACTGTCGCGGACTAATTAAAAATTCAGCCGACGAGTTACCCGAAGACGTTGGCCTTCCATCCCTCTTTTCCCTCTTTCGCTCTCGTTCGACCTCTTCTTCTCCCCCTAGTTCATTCACTCACACACACACACACTTTCTCTTTCTCCTTGTACCCCATACTTCTCTCTTTTTCTCTCTCTCTCTCGTTCCTTTCCCTTCCTTCCTTCTGTCTCTCTCGCACTTAACTTTCTCGCGCTTTTCGTAGCTTTTTTACCTTCTCTCCGTCCTCGGCCACGCGACCGCCGATCCTTTTCACTTTTTTTTTGTTGCACCACGCCACGAGGAACGGCCACGCGCTTACCTCATCGACAGGTTGCCCTCTTGATCGAGACGCGGATGCCTTTTTGCAAGGAAACGGAGTTAATTACCGGATCGCGACCGGGACACCGACCCGATGCGGAAGACTTGTATTATGACTACCGCATTCAATTCTTTTCCCCCAGAAAGCATCGCTTGCCAAGAAATTAATCGCGAGGGGGATCTGATTTTGAAGTTTCGCTTTATTTTTACCAGAGCGCACCGATGACGTACGACGCCAATGAACCGAGACGGATCATAAAATGATTAGGATCGAAGTAGAGCGTGCCGGACTTGCGTGACTCGATTTTAAAACGATTTACGACGATCCGATCACGGATCACCGTGGAAGGATTTGCGGGCCGCCGATGAGCGCCGAGAGTTTCTCGTTACAAATGGCACGGATTTGTCGGCGGCGGTTAACAACCAGGAGAGAGATTGCTTTTGATCTGCTCTCGGAGAAAACTTAAAATCGAGTTACGTCGACATAATCGATTGGATCCGCAAGTAATTATGCTTCTGATTAACGATATTGTCTACACACATTGATACGAAAAATTAAATATTAAAATTTTCCGAAAAGAATGCAGAACATCTCAATACACGAAAAATATGAAATTTCTTACGATTTAAACCAAAACACTTTATTTTACTGTTTTTTCTAATATAATAACATAAAAATTTGACATACACAATAAGTGTAAAATCTATAATAGATGAAAAATACCAACTTATGAAAAGTATACGTTTGTTGAAAGGAATCTTTTTGAAACAACGATTGTGTTACAAATATTTATGTTTTTGGATACTAGCGCGAGTAATTGAAATTTGAAAATACACTCTCAAGTTTTCCCCAGAGCCTATTTTTTTTTTTCCGATAGATATAGCTATACCTTTTTCCATTTTTTTTCTTTGAATTCCTATTTCTTTCTAGTTTCGATTCTATGGAGAAACAAACATATTTTTAAATTATTCATAAAGTTATCTATGGAGTGATGAAATCGATCTAGTTATCTGGTCTTCTTGTAGGTAGACATTTATCGAAAATACAATTATGTTCTAATTATCGAAGACACTTAGTTATCTTGGTCGTCCAAATCGGACAAATAGAAAAAACGTACGAGCGTACACGGTCAAATCTAATCTAATCACATCATTGGTTGACACACCATTAGACTAAGATAAATTCGAGACATTCTAAAGTATGGTGGCTTTATGATTTTAATAATTTCGTTGTCTCGTTTCATCCAACCGCGTGGCACAATAAACACGCTCATAAACGCGGTACACGATTTCGAGCGCATCGCCTTCGCAAACGTGATAAATATCACGCATTTAGCGCGTGTGTCTAATCGCGTGTTTTCGCACCATCGGCCGCCACAAGTGTTTCGTTTCCGTGTCAGTTAAATCTATAGTGATCCGCGAAGTGGCCAATGATTTCGGATTGTATTATCATCGGCTTTAGCGTTTTTGCCCAAAAATCACATCGGTCTGTAAACACGAAAGAAAGAGCTCGTATCGGTCGACGGGCAGGTCGACGGATAATATTTCGTGGCAATGTGTGTTTTTTTTTTTGTTATTGTCACTCACCTTGCGCGATCCTGACCGCGGGCATTTTGATCCTCATGGTGGCGTTCGCGATCTTCGACTCTCGTCACGAAACACTTGTCTCTTGAAGAACGAGCTTCAGCTCCGGTCGTCCAGGACGGAAAAGGGGTTGCAGTTGCCGTTGCCAGTTGTTACCTTCCGGTCACCTGGATCACATCCGCGGGAACGAGATGAGGAAGGAGGAAGCGACAAGCGCACGTCGGTGACAGAACAACAGGACAAAGAACCCGATCCCGATCTCGGCCGTCGTCACGCTTCCGCCCTCCTCCCTCTCACCTCCGCCGCGTGTTTTCGCCCTCCGCGAGAGGGTCCATCCGATTTTTCCCGAGATATCGAAACACTGTCTTCTCCCGTCCTTCTTATTTCTAGGGACACGCCGCGTCCGGTTCTCTCTATCACGATTCGCGCTCTCTTCTGGATATCTTATCCGATACGTCTCGCGCACCTGGGCACCGCAACCTGGACACTTCTTCGTCAACTAATATTGGTCCTCATGGTCCTCAATGGCCGCATTCTTTCGCGGCCGCACTGCGTTCACCACCGCGAGAAATACGCGCGACATATATGACACCGCGACTCCGCGAACGATAGTGTCAATATCAGGTTTGACCGAGTGACTAACTGACCGGAACACGATCGGCCGCGCACAGGTGCGGGATAACGTTTACGCGCCCGTCCGGCGGGAATGCTGGCGCTTTCCCGATTGACAGTAGTTCTGCGCGTCGACTCGCCGCCAGCCGATTTCCCTCTGCGGCACCTGCCGAGCACCGATGTTGCGCCGACACGCGACAACAACCGCAGGAACTTTTGATCGCAACCGAACTGAACGCGGTGGTTCGTCGCCGCGGTCAGAGTTCACAGTCACGGTGGGACTCCCGCGGCGAATTCACGATATCCCAGAATTGCTCCTCTCTCGTTGACTGTTCGCTCACTGCTGTCACCTTCGCGAAATGGCGAAGTGAATAGGAAAAAAAAAGGAAAATATAAACAAGTCCAAAAGCGTCGCGCCGCGAGTGTCGCGCAGAGTGTCGCGGCGCGATGTTTCACGCGGGTTCGATGAACCGCAGTTTCCCAGACGATCGTCGTCTGGCGGTATCCTCGAATCCTTCGACGTCTCTCTCTCTCTCTCCTCTCCGTAGCTTCGTTTCAGTGTTACTTTTTTTTCTATTTTTAATTGCCGGCAATCGGCGTGGCGCACCCGCGGTCCCTGGACCACGCGCGATCACGATGACGCGACGTCGACGACGACGTGCAACGACACCGCGTCCTCGTTGACGTACGACCTCGACGGGCTGGTGCGGCTGTCTGGTGCGGCGGCCTGGTGCCGACGGCGCGGGTGCTGGATGCCTGATGCCGGCGTGGACCAGAGCGACGACGGTCCAGCATGGGTCGTATCGCCGAGTGGACTGTGCCGGACTGTGCGCGCCTCTAGTCGTGTGCCGTACGAGACCTGGTGTGTGTCGGGCACTGCGCTCGCTTCGGACGCGTTCGGTTCGCCTCGGCGCCGAGGCCGGACACCCCACGCGCTCTCGGGGTAGTTTTCACCCCCCGTGGTGGGGGTAACGCTTCCTCTCTCTTTCTCTCCCTATCTCTCGCTCTCTCTCCCCCTCCCTACGTCGTGCGCGCTCCCTTTCTACACCTCCTCCCCAGTTCTTCTCCCTCGCTTTCGCTCTCTCTCCCTTCCACTGGCGAGCGTTTGTGTAGCCGCGAGTACACCTACGGGGTCCGCATACACACGCCCGCGCGCTCGTTTCTCTCCGTTTAACGTTGGCCATCCAGATCCGCTCCTCTCTCTCTTGCCGTCTCCTCTCGCTCACTGATACCGGCGCCGGTGTTCGTCGTCCTTGTCGCGCGGGAGATAACCGCGAGGAGGGAGATCGCGTCTTCTCTCGCGCGGGTATCTCTAACGCGACGGATAGTAGGGGAAAGGCGCGCTTTTTCCAAAACGCAACCCTTCCTTCGCGTCGCGGCGCGAACGCGGCGGATACGATTTTTCCGGCGCGTTCCAACGGTCGCGAGGAGCCAACGGTTCTGCATCCGGCGCGAGAAAATCCACGTTGTACGGGATGCTCGGAAAACAAATGTGAAATACTATGTTAAGCCGATATTTTTATCGAATTTCGTATTTATTTAATCTGCTTTTGATAAGACAGTGATAATTTTACAATTTACTCATACTCTTGCAACTATCTTCGATGTTAAATAAATCCTTAATTAAGTTGCGATTTAAATATCTACAAGACTGCTTACAAATTTGACAAATACATTATTCGTGCTTCTGTTACAATCTTCTTGTCGAGCACTCTGTATATGTATTCACGAATGCAAACGAAAAAAAATATTTAAAAATATGATAAGACCGCAGCCTTCACGACGCGATTAATGCTGACCAGGCGTTTAAGTTACCGCAGTAATATCTAAACGTATTAATGTTGTTTGGAGCGGTGCCAAGTTTTCGTTGCTGATCGTTGCCGCACTCGTTACACCGACGATGAGTTTCTGTAGCAGAATTCCGGCGCGCGTGACAAATTGCTTCGAGTTACTTTTACTAACTACAGAAGACTTTTTGGAAGTTGCAAGTCCAATTATATTTTATCAAAGCACGAAAGACAGAAGTTCTATGTAAAATTTACTTCAATATCATTGATTTAAAAACTTAATTATAAATATAATACGTAACACATTTAATATTAATAGAAGATGTTAATTAATCTTTTGGCAAAATAGGTCATGCTTTCTCTGATCACGACACGAAATAAAGAAACTAAAAAATTTGAACAAAAATTTGAATGAAAAGATCCATTAAATCCATATAAATATATAATATAATAATAAATTTAGATTTTCTAGTATTCGAAATTGTTTCGATTCTTGCACTATTACCGCTTCATTACGAAACCGTGTACCGTAGAACGAAGAAAAAACGGCGCCCCGAGCATCAAGCGACGCGAAATGGTGCTAAATGCACGGGTCGCAGCCAGATTTACGAACCGATCGTAGCGCGATGCACGCTCGTCGTCTCTCGAACTCGCCGTAAACACACGGCGTCGAATCACAGAGAAAGCGGAGAGGAGCACACAGAAGTACCTGCTCTCTCACATTAATTATTCCGCGACTAAAACCCCTCATTCTACTTGTGGGATCGATATCCGCGACGCGGATCTTTCCACGTCGGGATTACTCGCTGGAGGATCTCGATCCTGCGACCAGGCGAGCGGGATAAGATGCGGAACTGAGGTAGGAAGAGAGCAGAGAAAAGAGAGAGCGAGAGAAGGAGAGGAGAATGGAAAGAGACGCAAACGTGGCGAAGAACCTCGCATTATCCTGGATACGAGACGTTCATCCGTCTACAAAGAGACACGGTGGTCGCGATAGGAAGTTCGAAGTTTCAAAGGAAGCGTGTACAGCTTACGTCATACGTATGCGCATTCGTGTATCTTACGTATTACGTATACGTCGTGTCTCTCTCTCATCTCCGGTCCGTGGTGACGGACCGCGCGATAGGATGCGCCCTTTAATTTTCCGCCGAGGTAAGGAGGGCGATCTCTTTTCTACTTTCCTCGAGTCGAGTGGCGAAGAGGGGGCAGGAGGGGAAAGAAGGGTGCCGAAAACGCTTCCCAGGCCTCAAACGCAGCCTGTCCTCGGTCTGTTTCTCGGTGGAGGCGTCTCTGAAGTGACTTTTAACAATCCCCAAAAAATTATCTAGTGCTGGCCTTAAGCGTTTCGGGCCTCCTGGACAGTGTTTCGTGGGCCCGTCCAGCGTATCTCGACCAGCCAATCTGGAGAAGGGCGAGAAAGGTTTTCGAGAATTTAATTTATTTTTCGATTAACCTCATGAATTCTTCTCCTCTTTTCCATTTCACAAACTATCTTAACTGTTTACTGATAAATATAACAAAAAAGTATGTTAGAATTTTCCTGAGTAAAAAGAAAGAGGGAGATGGGATAGCTTCAATATTAAAAAGTCTGATTACAGGCAAAAGAAATTCACGCTTCGTTTTATATAAATGATTTGACTAAATTATTTATTATAATATTTTTTAAACGAAAAGGGGTCAGAGATTATTCCGAACTAAGAATCGCAGTGCTAATTTTTCTGTTCATTAAATAACGTGGTCAATGCGGCGGCATCGTGATCGCCTAATCGACTGATCTCGAGGTTCAGAAGAGAACTCGTTACTACTATTGCGATTGCCGAACGTATGTAGCGCAAAAAATAGAGATTTCACAATAAAGAGTAATGAATGCACGGCACGCGAATCACCAGTGTACGTTTAAACCCGGCGAAGTGTTTCGAAGATTAATTCCGCGTTCTTTACGACGCGCTTGCATAAACGTCGCTTATTAGCGCTTATTTGAGTCCATTACCTTTTCTCGTTTTCATTGAGATGACTTTGCAACGAATAGTTTTCAGAAACAATTTGTTATACTCGATCCAGGGAATTCATTCGCAGTTAAATTCACGGCAGGTGCATTTTGAGACTGATATACGATAAGATATGCGTGATCATATACGCGATCATATACAATAATTTATTATTAAATGAACACGGAGCTGTGTGAGTATGAGTGCTAGAGAATGTCTCTCTCGGTTAGATTGCCCGCACTGGATGAATTAACGAATCCAGATCGCGCGAGGAAAGTTGCCGACGCGCAATTTAGCGAGTGCCTTTCGCGAAACATCGCGTCGAGAGGACCGCGCACATTTATACGATGCGCTCGCGAATTTATATGCGCCGCATCCAGTTTGTATATCTTATTTACGGCAGCGCTAGATAGATAGTATCGCTCGTTCGGAATGCATAAGTTATCAAGCGGTTTATTACTAGCGCACACATTAGGATACACTTTGACTCGTCTTGCACCGGCAGAAGGAAAGAGAGAGAGAGAAAGAAAATGAGAAAAGGAGGGTGGGAAGGAGAGAGAGAGAGAGAGAGTGTGTGTGTGTGTGTGTGTGTGTGTGTGTGTGTGTGTATGTGCACTCCAAGTGCACCTTGCACGTATCTCTAGAAAAGGCAGCGATCCGTTGACCCGTGTGAAATTCCCACATTCATTACCGTGAGGCCACTGTATTCCGGACGACCGCAAGTTCATAGAATTTTTCCGCGCTCTATGGCTCTCGGCTCACGCGTGTGTTTCTGCGATTCTCCTTCAGACCGCGCAGACAGCACGGTTCCCCAACAAGACGCTCCTTCCTTGGCCTGCAACGAAATAGGCGAATAGAAAAGGGATTGACAGAAAGCCCAGTTCCGGCAGATTATGAATGCCTCAAGTCTCTCCGACTTCGAAGTCGGAAATAATTCTGAAATGTTCAACTTCCTTCTATATTTATCCCATTTTTTTATTATGACGTTTAAATTTTTAACAAGAAGTAGAACGTGAACGTTATATAACCAGAAGTATTCTACAAAATTTGATGACGCAACGATTACGTTATTAAAAAGTTACGTATATATTGACTAGGCATTGAGTGGACAATTTATCTACTAAATAATATCTAAATAATTTAGAGTATATTCAGTTATCGTGGAAAGAATTAAAAGGTTTCTTCAACTAATTATGTCAATCAATAACGTATAAAAATTAGTCTCTAATTTCAAAGATTAAACGTTTAATTTTATAGAACAAATTTTCTATCCATACAATATACAATTCTTTTTAATTCCTTTATTTTTTACAAAAGAATTATTCGCACTTGAGTTATTATATTTTCCGGAGCATTCTGAATCGGTTTTGTCGTGTGACGACACATGCCCCCGTACATTGGCGCGTTCATCTAGTTAAGTCAAACAATACCAACAGACCGCGATAATGTCCTCGTCACGCGCCCGCCGAAGTGTGTCGCCGATACGAGACCACCGGGTGATCTGTGATAGCATAATAGCACACGATTGAGAGATGTCGCGTCTTCTCGGCTCAGTTCTTTGCCGTAGCGTACAATAAAAAAATATTATTTTAGTTGATCTTTGATCTTAATCGTTTATACGATAAATATTTGCCGATCGAAAAAAGTATGGAAATATTTTTATATTTGACAACTTCTTGTCGAGCCCTTTTTTTTATCGGAAGATCATCCTTCAGTATTCTCAACCTCTCCCGGCCGCAATGATCATCGCCCAAGCCGCATTTCCGACAGATGCGGCCGAACGCATCGTTCGAAACGGAGAAACAAGTTGGGCGCGAGCCGGGCGAGCGAGGGACCCTCCGTGTCGCAGGACGTTAATTTCGGACACCCGTTACAAGAAGACGAGCCGTCCAAAGGGTGAAAAAACCGTGGCTGCGTGGACCGTCTTGGTGACGATGCCCGCGCGTTATCCTCCTCTCCTTCCCCCCTCAGCTCCCCTACCCATGATCCCTGCCCTAACAACGCATCCTGTTCGGGGTTTTAAAGATTATTTTTACTTCGGGACAAAAAAG